GTGCTGGTTCCCACGGTACAGTCCAATCATTAAGTCAAATAATAATGATCAGATAATGATGAGATAATTTTGTGAGAAACAAAGACCAGATCACCAAACAGAGTACTCCATTGTGTCCATTAGGACAATTGGAGTGTAGGGATATGTGTCATATTACTACTGGGCTCAGAACGATAGTCAGAAGTACTATATCAAAGTATTATCAGCTATCTTGGGCAATGATTGGACTGTACTGTGGGAACCAGTACACCAACTCTCAGATAGACTACCCCCTCCAACCACCTTTAAATTTGTGTCAGAATGGTATATACAATGTCTATGCTCAGAGCAATACTTCAGTCTCTACCATGCCATCTATTTAAATCAACCATTACTATACTCAGATCAGATCAGATCAGGTCAGATCAGGTCAATCAAGATCAGATCTTCAGACCGAGTTAGACCGATCACATGCTCGGACCGATTAGACCGGAAGTCGCGACACGAGAGTTGTGTGGGAATCACCTTTCTAAAGGTGCCAAACGCTCAGGCACGGATTTTCAGATCTTCGGTAAATCAACGAGTCAGGGATGACTCATAACCTTGCACTTGCAAGACTTCCTGTGGTCACAACCAGTAAGTATATAGCAAGCAGCACTCAAGCTCGATGTAGGCAAGCACCAGTTGAGCATAGACTATAGTGAAGTAGCATGCAGGTTGGAGATATGCCTTGTTGTCATGCGAAATTTCAACTCATCTGGTTCTATTCTATTAATTAATCACATCCTAGAATAAATTAATGCTTCTTCCAAATCCTTATACACGAGCAAGGCAGTGTATCGAGTGTTTACAAAAGCCATGGTCATGTAGGAGGGTCTCTGAAAGACCAATGCTAGCTGAAGACTGTATAAGCATGAGTGCCCATAATGCGGCCAGGAAAGAGAATCGGTTGGCCTTGAGATCTACCACTAGGAGGTAATCTCGCTCCATGGTCCCCTCTACACTATAAGCAAAGATGTTAAGCACCAAGTATGAACTATTGTTTGTAGTAGTGATGGTAGTAATGAGGGTGGCCGGAATGTGGCCAGCCTCCATGCATATTCTATAGTCAGGATAGTAGAGCCTTTTGAGCCGTTGACTGGTCTTGAGGTCTACAGAGTAAAGGGCAATAATCCTATGAGTAGTGAGATAAGTGCAGGAATGATGATGAGCAATTGTGGAACTCACATGGTCTCGGACTGCATATTGGATGTCTGGCCGATGCTATTGAAGAAGAAGATTGCCATCCCATTTTAAGGATAGAGCAAGACAGCGTACATGGTGTACAATGACTGTGAGGTGAGGTATAGCTCTTTGAGTATGCCTTATTGGGTCGTTTCCAAGCAAGTGACCCTCATATGGCAGATACAGGCATCAACACCTTGGCTGGCCACTTTTTGTCAGACCATATAGATATGCAAACTGGGCTTGGGAAGGGTAACCTCTTATTCGAGGGAGTAAGAGGGCTGTCTTAGAGCAATAATGTAAATATCAATAGAAGTGGACATTAGAGAGGCCGGAGAGGGATGGGAGAAATCTGGTGTGTAGCATAGCCTCATCTCTGCAGCCTTCCTGTTAAGTTTTGGATACAGAGTTGAGAGACGCGCCAAAAGGCTCTGGAAGACAGCACTAGATGGCAAATGTCGGACTCCTCCAGATGGTTGGCAACAAGGTCGCACAGCTCAAGCGGCAACAAGGGTTCACTGGCAAAGTTCTTGAGTGTAGAAGGAAGCATGGTGACAATGTAACTCTGGTCATTTAGCGGGATATGATATTTATCACTATACAAACGAGAAGGGCATGAGGCTTATATAAAAAGGGGAAAAGGACTAGAAGTAATGTGTCGTAAGATGGTGCTCATTTTAGTGGTGGCCAATATTCAAGACTGTAGTCCTAATAAGAAGGTGTCTATATAGTTAGCCTGTATGTGAAACCTTGGAAAAGAGTTATAAAATGAGGATTGAAATGTCAGTGCTATTATGGTTTGACACTTATCTGTCTTTACATTCTAATTACCTTTAAAAACTCCCACTCCTAGGCTCTTGTTCTGCAGTTTTTCCTTCTGTATCTACTACCTAGAGTTGCCTCCATCAATACACTAGTTTCACCTCATGTCTTGAGTAGCCATAAAGGGCCCTTCACCCCCCTAGAGGCATCCCTAACAAGTGCCTTTGTAGGTATATAACCATAGCTTGCGGGTGCTCTTGAGTCACATAGACTGAGATGGTATGTACATTCTGCTGTGATTCCAGAGTGTTACATGGCTAGTGTGAGACACTAGGGGCTGCCCTGCTAGATCCTGTATACAATACCATTGTCTGAATAGAATAGTATGAGACGAGAATGAACAAGAAATAAACACTATGACTTCCTTTATATATGCTGTATAACATGTCCACCTAGTGGATACAGAGTCTACATGACAGCTGTAAGGATTTAGAGCAAATCACAGATAACTGCAAACAGGCTAAGTGTTTGTGCTGTCAATGATGGGAGTGTAAATATATTCACAAGGAGGAAAGCCAGCAATAGTGGGCCACTGTAGATAGTGCACTGTTGTCTGGTAAGAGTAAAATTACCTGCTCTAGGTGGGGCACTAATGAACTTCAAACCTTTAATAGTGCAATAAATCTCATAGACAGATTTCCGAGCATAGATGGCGGTTGAGTTCAAGCTTCTTCCTTCACTTTCCGGAATCTTCTGAGGATAGCTCTACAAGTATTGAATCTAGAAATAGAAAAACTATAGTATTGGAGTTGTCTCATTGAGAGCTTCAAAATGATATATAATATATGTCTATACCTAGTATTTGAGAAATCATTGTAAATGCAGCAAAATAGTATGTTGACCCCTGTACTAGCACACTCTCAGTATGGAACAGCTGGTATACTGTACCAATGAACTCTACTGGGTACACCAAGCACATATATATGCATAGAGCAGCAGAAAATTAGTATTAAGTATTGGAGGGGTAAAATATTAGCTTAAAGCAGGGGGAAACCAACGGACGCATAGTGACTTTAACTCACCACACTAGAAGCACAGCAAGCTGCAAAGACTTTTCCAAAGAGTGAGCATTATCACCCATAGCGAATGAGGCATATAAGCGAGATGGGTATCGGCATCACCGCCTGCAGCATCACTATCTATAGCATCACTGTCTGCAGTTTTGACACCCTGTGCAAGTGCCAGATCACCATCTTGAGTGGCATGAGGACTAGCAGGGCCGGGTTTGTCTATAAAACCTGCACTATCACGGGTTTCTCCAATTCGAAGAATAAGTGCATGGCTATCATCTTTGTTGTATATGGCTTAAGTGGGCAAGGAACAATGGTACAAAGGTCAGTTAATGCACTCAGATGTCCAGAATTTGGCGGAATCTCTGGCTTGTCAAGGAGTGACAAGCTTAGAGACAGCTCGAGTGATAGCAGGAGTGATTGTTGCTGCTTGTGACAAACCCGGCCTTGAGGTTGACGCGACGCGGCGAACGAGCGGCGGCGCGTTGATCTTGAGGTTCGGGAAACACGCGAGAGTCTTGCTATGCTAGAAATCGAGCAGTAAGAAGTGTCGAAGTCGTGCGATTGCAAGAGCTGGGGAAAAGTATATACATGTGAATCGTTTATATACTATGCCCCGAGACCCTCTCCTCCTCCTCCCAGAAACCCCTATTTTGATTGATACGAGAAGATTGAGACGATACGAAACGGTAAGCAAGTTTGTAAGTACATGAGTAAGAGAAATGGTTGTTCATAAGCAAGAATAGTCATAAGGGATGGTGGTGGTGTAGGTGTAAGTATGGATTGTTGTTGTAGCGGGACGACGTGACGTCGTCTGTGGCACCACGCAGTCAGTTAGCTGTGCCACAAGGTCAGCCTCATGTACGGTGCCTCAGCGGCGGGCAGGTGTACCCGTTACATTTGCCCTCCCGGCTCACATAGTGAGCCGCTGTAGCTGGAGGACAATGGCGGCAATCACGTCTTCAACCTTAGTTGAATCCCGGCGCAATCGGGTTATTGTCATTGAGGAACTTGTCGTAGTCCGCGCCGGAGGGTACGGGTTCGCCGTCGTTTTCCACGATCGCGCCAGAGCCGGAAGTGTCGTCGTCCTGGTCGACGTCGATAACTTCGCCTTGCTTGGGAGCGCGGTGTTTGCCTGTAGGCGCGCGCGGTCAGGAGACTCATCGTGGGATGTTGAATATGATAAGCGTGCACCGTTCCCTTTTCTCTTGCGTTCACGGCACTTACGCTTTTTCTTCCCACCATCATCCCCGTCACCACCACCGTCGCGCTCGACGCGCTCCATAATAGGTGAGTTCGCCTTTGGCAGAGGCTTGCGGAGCTGACCCTTGTGTGATTTGAAGTAGAACCCGTGGTCATCGCGGGCCAGCTTGTCTGTCAAGAGATTGAGCGCGCTCGTGGTCATCGCAATGTCGGGGCCATTGTTGACAGCACCGATGACACTCGACGGTGCAGTTGCGTATTTGCTCGTTGAGACGGCTGCTGCTGGGTAAGCTCCTCATTTTGGTATAGATCGTGCAAGGTACTCACGGCCGCTCGGGCTCTTTATCAGATCCGGATAGTCCGTTACCGTGGGCACGTACTTGTTGCGCGGCATGTAGTGCGAGTAATACCCGCCCGGCGGCTGTCCCGGGTAGGGCTCAGCGCCTTTTGAGCATCCCCAGGCCAGAACCTTCTGCCCGTAGTCGTCCCAGCGCTTGTAGTAGGCGGGCGTGATCTGATTGATCGGCGGATCGTGTTTGGCCATCGCAATAGAGGTATATATAGGAGGAGATTGTGTGCGAGAGTGTTCAGCAATGGATAGCTTACTTGTTCTCGCCACAGGTTGACTCCTCTTATACCCTCATATGCGCCTCATGTGCTTATGCTCGAATGATCCTGCCCATTCGCCTGCATATCCGAGGTACAACACAACCAAGGGGTCGCCTGCCTCGTTTTCCTGCGCTTCGGTCGCTGACTGAGCTTTCAGCAGGAATCGTGCATGGCTGATGCCCATGGCCTTGCAATACTCTGTGAGTGCATTTGTGGCACGGAGTTCGTGGTAAGTCGCCCACGTAACGTCTCCAGTTGTCCACTGAACCTCGAATTGCGTGTCCAGACCTTGTCCACTGTGCGATAGAATGCGGTCAATAGCCCATTCCTTTGCAGCATTGTTGAGACTCGGGAGCTGGTGGAGCTGCCGGCCCGGGAAAAGCCTATTGTCGTTTGGTACGTGCTTCCGCAATAATGATGCATGGAAAGCATTGTGAATGCCTCGCGCTAACATGTCTTTGGGTAGGTCCAGCTGGAAAGTCGTACCCACCGTCGGCTCGCCCGTGATCCAATAAGGTCCCATGTACTTCGGTACAAGTTTCCGCGCGTGCGCTTTCGGCAGGCGGAGATTTTTAGTTGACAAATACACTAGATCTCCGAGCCTGAAGGCCGAGTCCTTGTGCCGTTTGTTCGCCTGGGCAGCTTGGTTCACACGCGCTTCGATAATCGCGTCATGTGCTCTCATGAGTGCGTCTTTCATGTTTTTGGCGAACTTACGTACCCCGGGATAATCTGACTGGGAATTCCAGATCATTGGTCGGGGTGTGCGTCCATAGTTCAGGAAGAACGGTGAGACTCCGGTCGTCTCTGATCTCGCCGAGTTCATCGCAAACTCCACAGCTGGCAGTTTCTGGACCCAGTTCTTTTGGTCAACTGCTACGCATTGTCGCAACATCTGCGTCATGGTACGATTGGCCCGCTCTGTTGCCCCGTCTGTCTGCGGATGGTATGCTGACGAAAACCGCAGTTCCACGTTCATCAGCTCGTGTAGACGCTGCTAGAACATACTGGTGAACAACGAGTCTCTGTCACTTACGATCCGTTCCGGTAAGCCGTGATGTTTGTACACGTTCTCAAACAAGACTTCCGCAATCTGTGCTGATCCATATGTCTGTCTCGTAGGTACGAGGTGCACCATTGACGTCAGATGGTCAATGATCACGCAGATCATGTTGAATCAACCATGGTGATTTGTAGACTCCGGCAATGGCCCGACGAAATCGACTCCGATTATCTGCCATGGCCGATGTGGTATCTCAAGGGACCTAAGCTTTCCTGACGGCATCGAGTTACTCAGTTTTGTCATCACGCATACAGGACATGACTCGCAGTATTTTCTTACGTCTGTAGTCATATTGGGCCAGTGTACTTTGGTTCGTAGGTAATCAATGGTCTTTGCTGCTCCCAGATGTGCGAGCAGTGAGTGTGCATGCGTGATCACAATTTCCCTGGCGCTACGTGCTCCAATTAGGATATCTGGTATGCACAATCGATTCTGACCCCCTATATTGACAAATAGCAATCCGTTCTTGAACGCAAAGTTCTTGAACTGCTCAGGGTCTTCAATGACTTTACGGTACATTGGATCTTCACTATACCAATCCCGGATCTCATCTTGGAACAGGTTCCCCGTGTCGTTGCACACAATTACCTCGGGCAGGTGGCTGCTGTTGTCTTCCTGCCGTATATCGGTGTCGTCAGGCTTAGACAGCATTGCAGTCTTTTCCGCCTCCGTCATCTCCTCGAGTATGTGCTTGCTATCAGACGGCAATGAGGTTTCTGACCGAGCTTCAGGTGGTTCAAGCTCGCTGGAGATAGTAACCTTTCTCAGCTTCGCGATCGTGCTTGCATTGGAACTCTCTTTTGGTTGTCTCGGCTTGTATGTGCGAGTGTCCCGGAACTGCCCCTCACAATGAACCTTACCTGTACGAGCTGACCGCCACACAACAGGTATACTCATCTTGGCCTCGGCTAATATTATACTTCCGGTGTAAATCGGAGCGTGCTCGAGTGGTGGTGGTCCATCATCGTCGTCATCAGACAAGTACTCACTGCGTGCTCGTACAATGTCAGCGGGTTCATTGCTATAGATCCGTGACAGAGCATCGGCAAGTGTGTTCATCTCGCCAGGTATGTACTCTATTTCGAATGCAAACTCGTTCAATATATCAAGCCATCAATGCTGACGTGCCGACAGGTTCCTCTGCTGCATAAAGTATTCAAGTGCGCAATGATCCATGCAGATACGGAATCTCGTGCCATGCAGTAGCCCGCGGAATCACTTCAAAGATTCAACTATCGCCAGAAGCTCCTGCTCGTGCACCGGGTAATTCTGCTGTGCCGAGTTGAACTTTTCTGACCAAAAGGTAACTACCTGTGCTTTGAAAACATCGTCACCTTGACTGATATACCCGCTACAGCCGGTTAACGAGGCATCGGTCACCAAGTTGATCTTAGGTGCGCTCGCAGCATAGTCCAGTGTGATCCGTCGGTGATCGCGCCATTGCTGAACTGTCTCCCTAACCTGTTCGAATGCACGCTGATGTACGACCTCCCATTTCCAGACTCGTGTCGACCCTGTCAATGGTGCCAACACTCCCATCAGTACACATATACCCGGACAGTCAGATGCGAGATATCCTACGGCACCAAGGAAGCTCATAAGTAGCCCCTTGTTCATAGGCACTTTCCAGTTCGCCACCTTGTCAACTTTATGCGCGTCCATCCCAATCCCTCGCTTGCCGATGACATGCCCAAGGATCTCCAGTCGGCGCGCGAAGAACTGCATCTTATCGGCACTCAGATAGAGCTTCTCTCACCACAATACATCCAATATGGTGCGTATATGCTTCAGATGATCTTCAATGCTGTCCAAATAGATAACAATGTCATCCAGGTATACATCCATGAATGCGCCGATGTATGGTGCGAATATATGGTTCATCAAAGTCTGGTATGTGGTCGGCCCATTACAGTCGCCTTGCTGCAAGACTAAACTCTCCATAGTACCATCTGGGGTATTGAACAAGGTACGATCTACATGCTCGTGTATGACCCGGATCTGCTTGTACACATCTTTACTGTCGATTAGACTCCGGAACGGGTGTCGTGCGACATTCCTCAAGATAGCTTCGATATCTGGCAAAGGTGCAGCTAGATGCCTCGTATTCGCATTCTGCTGACGCTTATCTACTACAGTACGCATACGCAGCTTTCCGTCGGCCTTGGGTGGCTTCGGGATGATCAGGAGTGGCATCGGGTTGGTCCCCGGCGCTGTTCTCCATCGTCCTGAGTTCAGGTAAGCATTCTTTTTCTCTCGCCACATATCCTTCATCGCCTCAGGGCACTTTGCAGGGCGATAGGAGTATACTTTGTCCTCGTCAATCAATGGAATGGTATAGTTGACCGCTCGTAGAGGGGGTAAGCTTGTGTGCTCGGTGTCTGGGCACAAATCTATAGCCTCCTGTTTCAGCTGCTCACGTAGCTTTTGCAGTTGATCCTCGACTATATCGGCAGCAGCCGATGATATGCTCGTGACCTCGGAACCACGGATCGGTAATGGTATGTCTGAACCTATCCCTACTCGTGTCGGGTTCAGGCCAATGACAACCCGATGTTGAAAGCAGAACAGTGTCCCTAGGATCATATTGTAGTTATCCAGGTTAACTACATCAAAGCGGTGCTTCGATTGTATTGTCTGGTACTGAAAGTCCACTACGATACTGTGATTGATCTTTGATTGAGACCCGTGAACGGCTAACTATACTGGTAAGGGCTTTGCTAATGCTTCAGTCTTCAGTTTCAGCTGATCTACCATAGTGGTCGATATAAAATCCGCCATAGATCCAGTGTCAATGAGTGCGCGCACAGGCTTCCCTTTGACACGAACAGTGACCACAATTGGCTTCAGGATCTCACGGCGAAGGTCCTTAGGCTTGGCCGCGTTACGCTCTATTGCGTCTAGCCCTGTAGGTCCTTGTTTTACCTTGCGCTTCGGCCCAAACTTAACCTTTGTTTGTTGACTGTTTGTCAAGGTACTGGCCACAGACAGTGTCCAGGCTCGTCGGCAGCGAGCCCCGTGTGAATGCGTGCGCTGAGGGTCTGGCTCCTCGTACGGCATGCACACAATGTGCACATCCTCACACGTGAGCATGAGGTCCTCACAATCCTTTTGGCGTAATTCTTCGGAGCTGATGTATGCATTCAGCTTCTCTTCTGGGACTGTGACTACGTATCCGTTGCGATCTGGATACACCTCTACGTGGGCAGGACCTGCATGACCCGCTTTGTACAGCAGGTCTATAGCTTCATCATGTACTGTCTTGACCGAAGGGCCTCGGCACCACTCAGTGAGTTCGGTTCTGACTATGCTGGGTACTGTTGTACGATTGCTGAATAGATCCTCCGTGCCAACTTCGTATGACAGTGATGCCAGTTTGTTGAATACCTCAAACCAGCCGGGCCCGCCTGATGGTACTACTGCGAACCTGTCATCTGGCGACATTCCCGCCCTCCAGGCGTCGTAAGGGTCATAGTACCAGGAGAATATCTCCTTGATTTTGGCTGCAGTGGACTCCCATTCATAAGGTGTTTCATAGTTAACATCTGGCATGATCTCATTACTGATATCCGATACAGTCTTTCTATCAGTATCCCAGTCAACTTCAGAGGAAGTGTCCGACACCAACTCAAGGTCAGGCATAGATCCATTCTCGCTTCCACTGTCATCTAACTGCATGTCAAAGGATATTGCACCGAGATCTATGAGATTTGCTTCACTAGCAAGCTTGTCTAGGTCCGGTATCCGTATACTGCTCGATCAAACTGACGGTTTTGGTGCCATCTTCTTCGATGGGCAGTTTCGGACTTCGTGACCTGTTTCGCGGCAGTGGAAACAGCGCCCTTCGGCAATCATCGTAGCTTTCTCTTCCCGGG